ACGGGCGCGACACTGAGGGTTGCGGTCTGTTGCCGGACATGAAAAAAGACAAAAAAAAAAAAAAAAAGAACTTGAAGAGAAAGAAACCAAATTAAAGTATCCTCTCACATATTTTAACATGGGAGTGGGAGGGGGAGCTGCAGTAATTTCACAAACTCCCCATAAAGGCACTTGTGAAATTCGCCTATGGATGCTAAGAATTCCAGAGAACACCCTGTCACCCAGAACCAGCACATCTGGAAACCAACGCTTTCAGCTTACGCGGTCTTGCCCTCGCTGTCGTGCTTGGTGGCACTGGCCCCCTTCTTGCCCAGCAGCGAGGCCACCTTCTCCGCATCCCCATTCTCCACGGCCTGCAGCAGCCGGTCATCGTGCTTGTTCCACTCATTGGTCTGTGGAGCAAAGAGAAGAAACAGAGCTAGTGAACAATAACGCCATGGCCATGCTGATCGGCAGGACCTCGGTCCTCCCAGCTCAAACCAAAACCTGTCCCCAATGAGCAACGTGAAAAATACCTTCCCCTTCACCATGGAGACACCCAAGAAGGCCGATTTCCCAAAAGAAAACATCCACAGTTCAATGAAATAGCGGCCAGTCACCAAACTCCGAGATAAAGTTATTTCTTTTAACTAAGGCTGGGAAGATGAAGCAATTTAAAAAGACCTTGAGGCCGGTTTACACATTAGCTAATTTCTAGCTAAACTGGACAGCTGGCTCCTCAGAATGTTGGCCTTTGACCTAGTCCGCAGCTCACTCAGGCCACTGTGTTACCGACCCAATCTGGCCAAGGTTTCCCGAGTGTTTATATACACACGATTCTTCACTGCTTTTATGGCTAGTCTTCATGGCCTGCTTACTGGGCCCTGATTTTTGAGCTGTATACTGAATTTAAGTAGTTGTCCAGGCTACCAATTCAACAAAGGATCACCAGAAACAAAACTTCTTTCTGAGCAAGCTATTAAAGGTCAAACAGCTTTGAGCAAAGCCTTAACGACCGTCCACCCCAACCCAAACAGAATCCTCCTGCAAACCACAGTAACAGTAAAGTGTTCATGTGTGCAAAAACTAGTTTTTACTCTTAAGAGGAGGTGATCTCTATATAAGAGCAAATGGGCCTTGAGTACAGGACTAAGAAGTTTCAAATGGAAAAGGCAGTAGCGAGCCACTGAAGGTTTTGGGGCAGAGGAATACAAATAAAATCAGCGACTGAGGAAGAGTCATTGGGAGGTGTATGAAGCATATAAGATTAGTAGGGGGACAGGGGAGGAAGAAAGGATGCCGGACACATCAAAACCCCTGCAAAGTCACTTTGTAGGCCCGGCCTGCCCTTCAGTTCTCCCCTGCAGCAGGCCCCTGAGCCAAACCTACTTTCTGGACCCTCTGGGTGTGGACACCACCACCCTGGCAGACTCCTCCTCCCTCCCGAAAGCTTTCTACAGACTGCTTCTTTATGACCTCCAAAGATAAGAACCTACAGGTATTTCACATTAAAGGCTTTACCACAGACCACTACAAGGAAGCGAACAGAGGAGATACTGAAGATTTAAAAGCCAAAAAGAGGGAATTTTACAGGATTACAGTCTTCCATGGCCCCAGGAGTATGTCCCCAATCCATGTACTGATGGAACTAGGAAACCCAATAGGACTTTGCCCTCTCAAAAAGCAAGGGTGGGTCCACCAAACGGCCTAGTCACCCCTCCACCCTAGCCTAGATGTCACAGGCCTTGGAAGTATAAAACAGATGTGCCCAGAAGTTGCATCTGTGAGTCTCAGGACTGGGTCACTCCCATTTTTCTGGCTCTTCCCCCATGGCCATAACTGAGTGCAAGAACATAGGAAGAATGAACATAGGTTTGAATGAAAATCAGCAGTTTGTCCTCTAGGCTGCATGAACTTGAAGTCCAGAACTCTAGATTGACACATATGCTGTGTGACCTTAAGTCATCCATAACCTCTTTGTGCCTTGGTTTCCCAAGGCTTTGGACTGGGTATCCACTGTGATTCCTCTAAAGCTCTAAATCCTTACTCTATAGAATCCCCCAAACCAGACTTTGCCTGGGATTATTCAAGAACAGTACTGTCTGAGATACTGGAAATATCTATATTTGAGCTGTCCAATAAATACTGTGGCAACGAGACCAGTGATTCTCAACCAGGGGTGATTTTGCCCCGAGGGGACATTTGGAAATCTGTGAAGACAGTTTTGGTTGTCATGACTAAAGAGTACTACTGGCATCTGGTAGGTAGAGGCCAGGGGTGTTGCTAAACATCCTGGAATGTACAAGACAGCCCCTTCCCCCACCCCAACAAAACATAATTTGACTCAAAATGTCAATATTGCATTAGTCCTGTGTGGCTATTGAGCACTGGAAATGTGGCTAGTGCAACTGAAGAACTGAATTTTTAACTTTGAGACTTTATAGAAAAATGAGTATGACATTGGCCCTCACACATTCTTTGTTAAAAATATGAAGAGTCATTATGCAGAGCTGCACTATTCTGGATGGTAGCCACTAGCTCATAGGTGTTACCTTTAATTACGCTTCAGCCTTCCTACTGAAGGGGAACACCAGACATATATTGCCCTGGCACAAACATTTGTTAGTAGAATCGGAAGCTTTACTTAACACCACCATACAAAAGAGCGTAACAGCCACAGCAAACAACAAGAAACAGACTGCAGCTTATTTCCCCCAGAGTGCACATAACAAGCAAAAAAAAAATTACTGAAGTACATTTAGGACCAATAATTCCTACCTATATTATCCTAAAAGGGAAAAGTACTGTCTTTTAAAATTCTTCCCTAACCTAGACTGATCAAATTAAAACCGGACTGGGAAGATCAAAAGGATATTAAATCTCACAGGACAGGACTGACAGTACTTAAGCAGAGGAAAGGCCACATGAAAGCATTCTCCTTTTCAGTGCTGCTAAGGCCCTCCACTCTTAAGTAGGGAAAAATCTGATTGCAGGGGTTCCTGAATATTAGTTCCACATGGATCTTTAGGGAGTTTAATTTCTATAGGACCGGGCATGAAAGATCCCCCTCCCGTACTCTTTGGAGGACAAAGTCAAGGGCACATTCTTGAAGTCTAAAATGCTTCTCTTTTCTCTAGAGTGTCTCCTCAGTGCAGACCAGGAATTTCTTTTCTCTTGGAGCAGATGAGGCAAGAGGACATGGCTACTCACAGCAAATATTTAATCAGTAATCCACAACGCCATTCAACTTGTAAGTGCCGCTGATGGGGTCCAGAGTAAGCAGTGAGAGGAGAAAGGACAGACTTCCACCTGTTGGAGGCCTTGACTTTGAGCAGAGAGAAGAATGGTTCAGAACAAATGGCAGAGGCAAACCTGAAGAGAAGAACAAGGCGTGGTGGGGGAGTAGACCTGTGGCTAGGAAAGGAGGAGAAAAGGGAAGGGTTGTATTCTTAAAATTCTCACAAGTATGCTAAAGGTGGAGGCCAAGAAGGGTCCCAATTAGACCTCTGATCCAGAAATCCGGTTTCTGACCAGTGAGTCTACCAAGGTGAAACACCAGCCTGATGGCCAGCACAGCAGGGGTTGCTTATGTAGCAGAGTTCTCTAGTTTTGAGCCAGGCCACTGGTTACGCTGTACCTGCAATTAGCTCTGACTGCACAACTGGCCATACATACCATGCTCCTTCCAGAAGCATGGCTTTCCAGGCCATCACTTTCCTCTCCTACACTTGCCCATGGAGATGTTCCCTGCATCCTCTCCTATATAACTATTCTATTCAATGCTATATTTTATACCAAAAACTCCATGGCCATTAACAAGAGAAGACAAAACAGCTGTTTAATGACACTTTTGCTCTTGGGAATCCAAAAGCAAATTCCTCTCCCCTACCCCATACCTCTGCTGAGAGCTACTAAATTGAAGTGAAGCATCAAAAGAAACTTCAAAATGTCATCCTGGTCAATCCCTACTGTTAGAAGGTAGGTTTGGTCAGATAAATAGGGTGAAATTTGAAATTGTGCCAGAATTTACTCATATTCCAGAATCAGGGAAGGCTTCTGGAGACCACAACCACATTAACCATATCACTTCTCACTGCTTCCCATGAAAACCCTCTCCTCTAACTAGTGCCCCCTCCATAGGACAGGCTCCACACTGGGGTCCTGGTCCCTTTATAGTTTTCAACCAATTAATGGGTTAATCTAACATATTATAAAGTGAAATAAAAAAACAGAAAACATCAGATGCACATTTTTTTCTTTTTTGGCTGGCCACAGGGATCAAATCCTGGACCTTGGTGTTCTCAGCACCACACTCTAACCAACTCAGTTAACTGGCCAGTCTAAATGCATCACATTTAATAAGGTTAAATGTTTCATGAAACTTTAGTTTATTATATGTATGTACATAATGGGTGATGGAGTTTGGATGTGTTGTCCCCTCCAAAACTCATGTGGAAATTTGATCTCCAACGTGGCAGTGTTGGAAACTGGGGATGGATCCCTCATGAATGGATTAATGCTCTCTCTGGGGGAGGGGGGATTAATGAGTGAGTTCTTGCTCTATAAGTTCCCATGAGAGTTTGTTGCTTAAAAAGACCCTGGCACCTCCTCTCTCTCTTTTGCTTCCTCTCTCGCCATGTGATCTGCTTGTATTTCGCCGGCTGCCTGCTGCTTCCCGCCATGAGTAGAAGCAGCCTGAGGCCCGTGCCAGATGCAGCTGTCCCAGAATCATAAGCCAAATAAAACTCTGTTCTTTATACGTTACCCGGTTTCAGGTATTCTGTTATAGCAACACAGAACAGACTAAAACAGGAAATATAAAATATATTTCTTATTGTGGAATCCCAATAAAAGAACTGTTGCAGGGAACCCTAAGCATTTTTAATTGTTGAGCTTTACCCTTTTCCACTTGAGAAACTGTTTTAGAAACCCTATGCTCCAGGGCCGGCCCCGTGGCGCACTCGGGAGAGTGCGGCGCTGGGAGCGCAGCCACGCTCCCGCCACGGGTTCGGATCCTATATAGGGATGGCCGGTGTGCTCACTGGCTGAGCGCGGTGCGGGCGACACGAAGCCAAGGGTTGCGATTCCCTTACCAGTCACGAAAAAGACAAAAGGAAAAAAAAAAGAAACCCTATGCTCCACTGTAGACTCTGGCCCCTGCCATTTACGCTGCTTGCTTCTTGGGCCCACCCTCTATGAGATAACAGCAGTCTCACACCCTCCTCCAGGGGCCAGAGGCTAATTAGGCTCCTAAAGTGACCAACAGACTGTGTCCCATAACCAGCCAATCCAAATTAGCAGGACAGCATCCCTCATTTACATAAGAGGACCTGAATGAGAACCTGTGAGGGAAAAGGGTGGGAATTTAGGCTATATAAGGGGGTTGGTTCCTTTGTTCGGGGAGACACTGGCT